CTGAAGTGGACCAGGCAGTGGGGGCTGCCGTGAGCACCATGGGCCCTGAGGTGCTGCTGGAAGCTGTGCCCCTGGAGATAGACGGCAAGGAGTGAGTACAGTCATGGGGTAGCAATTTTGCAGCTGTTTGTTAGATTTCTGTTCAGTGCCTATGCAGTCCTGGAGGTATTTGGCTGCCAAGCCTACCTGTGCCCAGCTTTGGGGCTGGATGGAGATGCCCTGTGCCCAGGGGCTGATGCTGGCAGTGCCCATTGCTCCCCTGACCCATGCCTTCTCTCCCCAGGGAGACACTGGAGTTCCCCCGCAGCTGGCTCCTGCCTGTGCTGCGGGACTATGTGCAAGGCGCACGGCTTGGCTTCTTCACCAGCTACTTCTTGCCCTTGGCAGCCGCCCTGAAAAGCAGAGGTGAGGAAGGTGGCGCGGTGAGAGTCCCAGCAGTCCAGGCTGTTCCATGGGACCTTGTTTCCCTCCACTGGGGTGGAGTAGGGCTTTGCAATCTCTGCTGCTTCACTCACTTCTCCTTCCGTAGCCCTGGAGTTTACACAGGCTGGGGAGAGCGCGGAGGCCAAGATCTCGTTGGTAACAAGGAATGCCTGGGAGCTCTTGCCATGGTATACCCATGGTGCCAGGCTGGGGAGCAGTGACCTGGGTGAAGACTGCTGGCCTCTCACCTTTTTCTTTGCCTGTCAGGTCTGGACTCTGTTGCCTGGCTTCTGCACCCACCCCACAGACGTGCTGGGTGCCTTCAAGGGGCTAGCCCGCACCTTGGGCATGGCTATCAGCGAGCGCCCAGACCTCCGCCTCACCGTGTGCCAGGCCCTGCGCACCCTCATCCACAAAGGCTGCGCGACAGGTTGGGGGGGGACAGACCCTCGTGGTGGGTCCCTGTACCCTGTGATGCCCCTGGGAGGGGACATGCTGATATATCCCTTGTCATCCTCTCCCTAGACGCAGAGAAGGCAGAAGTGGGTCGCTTTGCCAAAAATTTTCTGCCCATCCTGTTCAATGTGTACAGCCAGGCCGAGGAGGATGGGGGCAGCAGTGCTCAGCGCCGCTCCGTGCTGGACACTGTCCGTGCTTACCTGACCATCACAGACCCCCAGGTGAGGGGGCAGTGGGGCAAGCTGTGCAGGGTCGGGCTAGCATCTGCCAGCCAGACCCAGTCTCATGGGGTTTTGGTGCATGACTGATTGAAGAGGACAGGAAGAGAGGTGCTGAACAGAGAGCAGCCCTTCCCACCCCTATTGGGAGGGAGTCCTTTCTAGCCAGTGGTTTGGGATTTCCCAATCTTGCAGCCACATCTGGTGCATCATGCACAAGCTCTTTGTATTTTTGTCCAACTCTCTTTTGACCCACTGGTGCTTCTGGTCTCCACAAAGTCCTATAGCAAGGTGTTTGCCAGGTGGATTGCAAACTGAGGGCATTTCCCTTGGTCAGTTCTGATCCTGCTCTGTGTGCCTGCCTTGCAGATGGTGTGCGGGTTCCTGGAAAAAGCCAGTGCAAAGCTGACCAGTCCTGAGAGCTCAGAGTTTGCCAGGTAACACCCGGGAACTGGTGCTAATGGGTAGAACTGGTGAGCAGTGCTAGGGCACTGTCATGAGTGGACTGTGCACTCGATGTGATTTGCAGCTGGAGTCCCAGTTTGATCAGACAGTGTTAGGGATGCCACAGTTAAACACCTGCATGTCCTTCACTGCTTCAGACTCTCCATCCTGGACCTGGTGGTAGCAATGGCACCTTACGCTGATGAGCAGTCCCTGGGCTCCCTGTACCACACCATCCAGCCTTCCCTCCAGGTGAGTTGGCCCCTAGTCCTCACAGGTGCAGGGGATGCAGTGGCCTCTCCTTGCTGCCAGCCTGGACCCACACTCTGTGGGGCTGAGCAGCTGCCACAGGAGACAGGTCTCTGCTGGGTGGTGTGGGGTGCTGTGAGGGTCACTGTGGCAAGGGGCTGGACTGCCTTGACAGCAGGAGCATGTTGGCTGTCCCTGCAGAGCAAAGAACACAGCATGCAGAAGAAGGCGTACCGTGTGCTAGAGGAGGTGTGTGCTGCTCCCCATGCTCCCTGCCAGGCCTTTGTCCGCTCCCACCTGCAGGATCTGCAGACAGTACTGCTGGATTCACTCAAGAGTGCAGCATCCCCAGCCAAGAGGGTGAGAGCAAGGGCTGCAGTGGTGGAGATCTGCTGCTGCTAGGAGGGAGGGCATAGGGTGGGCGATGGGGATAGCCAGCTGTGTGTCCCTGGGTGTACCAGTGTTAGAGCTGTTTCTTTCTTCAGCCCCGGCTGAAATGCCTGTTCCACATCGTGAAGCAGCTCTCTGCAGAGCATGAGCCCTTTGTCACTGCCTTGATTCCAGAGGTGAGCACGGTCCCTGAGGGAACCTAGCTTGTTCTGGCTATTGGGGTGGTAGCAGTGGTGTGATGTGCATGTGTGCCTTCAGGTCATCCTATGCACCAAGGAGGTGTCAGTGGGGGCCCGCAAGAATGCCTTCATGCTGCTTGTGGAGATGGGACATGCCTTCATCCGCTTTGGACCCACCCCTGAAGGTGAGCTCCTACTCCACTTGCTCAGCCCCAGAGCCACTCTGGCTCCAGGGAGTCAGACCCATGCCCAGCATCCCACTGAAATGGTCCAGGGTTGCTGCTGGAAACAAGGAGAGTGGGGGCCTGAGTTGTTCCCTCTCTTGCAGAGGCCATGCAGCGGTTCCTGGTCCTGATCTACGTGGGGCTCACTGGCTCCGTCACCATGATCAGCTGCACTGTGCTGGCACTGACCCGCCTGTTCTTTGAGTTCAAAGGTGAGCAGGACGGCTGGGGGACGAGGCAGAGCCCTCCAGCAAAGGTGGGTGCTGGGAGGAGGCTGAGTGTGGCTGAGTCCCACTGTGGTTGCAGATCACCTGGAGTTCAGTATGGTGGAGCAGTTCCTGCAAAACATCTGCATGCTGCTGGCCTCCCGCACGCGGGATGTGGTGAAGGCAGCCCTGGGCTTCCTCAAGGTCACACTGCTTCTGGTGGACACTAAGCTGCTGGGGAAGCATGTCCAGACAATGGTGAGATCCTGTGTGGGGTGCCTCAAGGAGGGTGGTGGGACAAAGCTGGGGCTGCCTTGAGCAGCCAGGGGCATCTCCAGCTGCACCATGCTTCTGCCTGGGAGTCAAGGGAACAAGCTTGATCTTGGTGGCTGAGACAGCAGTGAGGAGGTCCCTCTCCTGAATGCCGGCATGGACATGCCATAGAATTCCCAGGAACCAGCCCTGCCATGCAAGGAGACCTCTCCATGGCTCTGTCTGGGGTAGTCATAGGGAGATGGCAGCGGGGTGAGCAAGGTGGTCATGCAGGTGAAGGGTGGTGGGAGGCTGGGTGCCCAAGGAAGGAGTGCTTTGGTCTTGAGGGTTTCTGTCCTGGCAGCTGGAGGCTGTGGGGAACCTTTCAGATGACATGAGACGCCACTTCCGTATGAAGCTGCGAAACCTCTTCATCAAGTTCATCCGCAAGTTTGGGTACGCCAGGGTCTCCTGAGGCAGGGAGGGAACTCCCTGGGGAGCAGTGCAGGAGAAGGTAGGTGCTAACTGCTCTCTATGTGCTCCTCAGCTTCGAGTTGGTGAAGGGGCTGCTGCCAGCTGAGTACCATAAGGTGCTGGTGAATATCCGGAAGGCGGAAGCCCGGAATCGCAAGCAGCGTGCCCTGAAGCAGGCGGCTGCGGATGGGGATGAGGAGGAGGCACCACCAGTACAGGTCAAAGGAGACAGGTGAAGATGGGCCAGGGTTGGAGAAGGAGCAGGCTCCACAGAAGGCTTAGTGCTGGATCTGCTCAGCTGGTGTCTCTAGAGATGCTGGAGACATATTCAGGGCTGCTGTGTGTTCCGTTTCTATCATCCTCTCTGTGTTTTGACCAGCATGGAGGAGATCCTGGCTGACTCAGAGGATGAAGAGGCGGAAGAAGAGGAACGACAGTGGAGCAAGGAATGGAGGAAGCAAGCACGGCAGAAGGGCCAAGCCTGGCTGAAGGAAGGGGAAGAGGATGAGCCACTCAATTTCCTGGACCCCAATGTGTCCCAGCGTGTGCTGGGTGAGGAGTGGAGCTTTGGAGGTGGCTGGGGTGGGATGGATGGGGCAGGGGCTGCTGTCATGCACAGGAGCCCTGGAGGTACGACTGCCCCTGGGAGTGGGTCCTTCCTCTGGCCCTGACCCATCTCTCTGTGAGCAGCCACCAAGCCAGGCCCCAAGAGGTCCAGAGGAGTGAGCCACGACTTCCAGGTGTCTGAGGATGGACGCCTGATCATCCGTGAAGAAGAAGAGGAGATGGATGATGATGAAGCTAAAGGTAGTGCCTGGGCTGTCGGGGTCTGCGCTAGACTTGCTCTGGAACTCCAAGTGATTTTCTTCCTGCTACCTGCATGTGGGAGCTTGAGGGAATGTGGGTGGAAGGGGCAGGAGTTGGTACAGACTTGTATCACACCCAGTGGCTTACTTCTGGGCCACTGCCTGGGGAAGCAGCCCCCTCCATC